TTTAATCCAGTTGTGGAGGGCGCAACTCAGCGGCCCATGTGGGGATCGAACCGGCAACCTTGGTATTATGAGCACTGTGCTCTAACCAACTTAGCTAACCGGTTGCCCCACAAATTGATTTTTAAACAAAACCAAAGTTTCCATTTTGGCAAGGCTCTCCACCCTCTTAAATCAAAACTTTAGGTGGGTGCTATTCTTTGATTTATATTTCTTCAAATAAATATCAATATAAAACTCCTTTGCAAAGGAATTTTGGACAGTGCTTGGTCTTACAGAAAACATTTGTACAGGTGAAGCTCATAATCTCATTAGTGTTTATCAATACTATTTCACATAATCGAAAGGATGGTTAGTAATTAAAAATGTAAATATGATTGTAGGGGCACTTACAAAGGATCTCAGCAAGAATTGAAAAAAAACATTTCCTTTAAATGATTATATTGTGTAATTTGGAATTTGCATATGTCGATTTGCATAAAGTGTGATAGATATACATATATTGTATGTATACTACAATTTCCCTCCTTAACACTAATACAGGAAAAAATAGAACTAAATGGTTCTTGACTGCTACCGTTTGAGACAAGAACTGCCAATTTACCCCCAGATGAGCCTGTGAGAGTTTAATTGGTGTTATTATCTACTACTAAATCATCTTTAAGGCTCTCTCCTTTCACATTTGGCAAATGTGGCATTCTGGACTGCTCCAATCAAGCCTTTAGGTTGTTATTCCAACCAAACTGGTCCCAGGTAACGGGGAGGGAAAAATATGGTTTGTTGTCTGTTAAAGTTAGCTTTTGTAGAGCATTTTCTAATTTATTAAGTGCTTGTCAAATTATTTTATTTAATCTTCCCGACAAATGTGTGAGGCGGAGACCCCATGCTATATTCCTTATTTCATAGATAGAGGGATCCACGGAGGGATGCAAGGCTCAAAAAGTGTAAATGAATTGCCAGGAATTACAAACAATTGCCAAAGTCAGAATTGGAGCCTAGATATTATGACTCCTATGCCAGTGCCTTTTTGTACAACTTGCTGAGAGGAGGGAAAGCACCACTCCCAGGTTGGAGAACATTAAAATGCATTTGTTATACTCCAAGTTAAACGGCGCATTTCTTTTTAAGCCATCTTAGCCAGACTCCACAACATTTATTGGGGGGATTACTACCTGATTATATTACCTCGCCCTTCCTGAACATGGGAAATTTCTATATCCCCTCATAGATCATTTCACCATCAGAAGATTGGTCTAAATCCATATTTAAAATGCTAGTCAGATGGCATGCCATCTTAAACCAGATTCTCCCAGGCTTTTAGTTACTCCTACATTCTTATAAGGAAATGTGAACCCCTGAATCTATCTCCCTATTTTCTTTCCTCAGTGGATTCCTTACCCATTTAAATAATTCACTGCCTAGCCCCTATTGGATGAGTTTCTACAATATTGCCAGGCCATATGCTAGACCTGAAGAGGGGTTTATATGTCCCATTAGATGACTCTTTTAATTTTACTGCCTGGCTAACGGTGCACAACTATGGCTTTCAATATCCCTGGACAAATGTCTGCCATTAGCTCACATCTGACCATGGCATCGGTATGTTTGTGTGACCATGGCTCGTTACACATGCAGGAACTGTGTAGGGGTATGTAATTTCATTGCTTTTCCCAACTGATTTCTAACTATAATTCAACTATTTCAGTATTCCCCATGTCTTTAAAAATTATTTTCCTCCCCAAAATGTTAAAAGGGAAAGGAAGAATGAATGGACCAAACTAGAATGAATTCTGTAAACATTAAAAGATACTCCAAAGGAGGCGAAAAGTGTTCGTAGGCTGAATTATTTTGAGTCTGGATTTCCTACCTTGCCTTAATGTTGTTGTTGGTTTTTTTTCAGTCCTGTCTCATTTCTTGTATTTAATTATTCCACTGTTTGAAACATTTCACCTCTCACTATGTATTCTATACTACACATACTATAATAAACACTGGCTGTAATCCTAACTTAGGCTTGATTTAAAATAGAAGTACTTAGGAATCTGAGCAAGGGAGAAAAAGCATTCTAACTCGCACAAGCTGCATTCTTTTCTCACGCCTTCTCTGCCTATTGCCCTGGGCTGTAAATTGCATGGTAAAATAACCAGTTTATTTGCTGTTTTCTTGCATTCTACTGAGAAAAGCTACATTGTTGGCAGACTGACAGAAAATTTGTAAATGGAATCCAGTATATTGTATGTATGCTTGGTGAATGTGTTTAATATATAATATTCATGTGATCTATATTTCTTTTTATTTTTTTTCCAATGGGAATCAACAAAAATGTAATGAGTGAGCTTTTTAAACTTAATGGGATGAGCAGAAATACCCTAAGAAAAGCAAGCGGCAATTCTTGCTCTCCCCTCTCCCTAAAAATACAAATAAACCATCACCTAACAACTAAAAACATCTTGTATTTTTAAAAGGAAAAGCAGAGTTTTTAAAAAAGCATTAAAATTCATTTTTTGAACCTGTGCTTAGCTAATACACATATTTAGATGTTTAGAAAATGTTCAAACATTTTCTTACAGACTTGATCTTAATGGGTCTCCTTTTTCTCCTCATCCATGAATTTTTATTACTCTGTGTTTTTGGCCTTGTCTTCTATAAAATGTACCATTTTCACTCACAGCTTCAGACAGCTTTGATGTTCTCAGTATAACATACTGTATGTAGTGTTAGCTGTTTAAAGCTGGAGATCAGATTGTGCATAATAACATATGTAGTTTGGATTGTATAAGCACTACAGGAAGAAGGGGAGACAGGGTCCTCTGTGTACAAATTTCAGATTGCTAGCTCTATGCCTGTTTCGAATGTTAAGCACTCCTAACTAGGCAGTGATGAAATTACGTCTTTCGTGACTGTGACTTCTGAAACTATGAAGACAAAATTTTTTCAACTAAAAATAATGTAAAGATGATGCCAGTGATTAACGTATTTACTTTATGTGTTTTTCTACTTGCTACTTAGGGAGCTCTGAGGATATAGAGGGGAAAAAATGGATTTCATTGTCTTCAAAACCCAATTTAACTATGCTGTTTCATAAAAAAACTTAGTGAATATAGTTTAGAAGAGCCAAAGACAGAATGTAATACAAATTGTCCATTTCATCCCTTATACATTTCACCAGTTATAAAGTCTGAAGTAGGGAATTAGACCAGTCTATTTCTCCAGGATTGTTTCTTTTATATCTCAATATTTCAGATTAGTTAAAACTACTGTGGAGTTTTGTTGTTGTTGTTGTTGTTGTATAGTATCATTATCAATAAAGTTGCTGTCTGGCTTTTTCATCTGTTGAAAGATTGCTAAATTTTATGCATTTCAAGAGAAATTAAATGAAACATACTACCATGTTTTTCAGCGGTGAGACTTTTCAGAGTGAAGAAATGTCAGTGGCTTTTCTAATTTAATTTTATATTTTATTTTAAATATTTATATCTTGCTTTGTTTCAGGAGGACTTCAATGCTGCTGATATGTTTACTGCTCAAATATCAGTGCAGTAATAATCAGGCCTTTGAAACTGGATGAAAAGTCCAGCAAATTTCAGCATCTTTTATTTATGTAGAGCAATTGTGTGGCATTTTGCTTCCTGCTCCTTTTCATAAGAACTTTAAGTATGGACATTCCCCTCCCCGAATATCTTTACATTGGGAAGCTCTGCGTGAGGTTGAAGTTTTTATGGGGGAACTTGTTTAAAACAGTTGTCTTTAAAGGCGGGTTTGCCACAGCAAGGTTAGAGGTTGCCAATAAATCCATTTATAGCAACTTCTGTATTCCCGGTTCCAGACACACCATTGGGGTGACTCGTGCACAAGTCTCGCAGGCCACACAAGGCACAGCAGTCCTGGTTGATCCTTCGGTGACCAAGGTTGGTCTAAAGGTCTTTGGGTGTGGAGTGGCTGCGCCCCCCAGCCCGAATTGGCTGCCTGGGATCCCTAGTCGAAGCCAGCGAAACCGGGACTCCCGAATCAGTAGGCCCTATCCCGGTTTTAGCTCTGTTG